TCCTTGTTACCACTCAATGACAAACCTTATGATTCAACGCGCACGCGCTAACCATTCGGCCATTCACGCCACCCCACCCCTGCCCCGGCACATCTTAAAGACTTAGAACTAAATCCAATGCCCCATAACTCGGGTATATATACATATCATACCTATAGATCCATTCTTAGTAGGAAGCCGGAGGAACCGGATAAGTCCCATGCCGGGTGAAAGTTTCATAAATATGTCAACGTTATCTCTCTAATGTTTTATTAGGGTGTTGGCATCTAAAACCCGAGTAAGGCGTTGACTTGCTGACCAGGGGCTCAGGTGTTCGATCCTGACTTTTAGTGAGAGAGAACCTCTGGAGTTTTAAACGTATGTCTTTTTGTTGGAAATGAAATGAAATGGGGTTTAACGTCCTACTGTTCTTCTCCTAACCTGGGCTAATGAAGACGGGCATACGCCATACAGTGTGCTATGAGGGAAATTTTGCCCGGTTAGCGGCGCTACGACCTACTCTTATATCGAATTCCAACTGCCAAGGGATCTTTTACGTGCACGCCAATGTGTACACGGGACCTCGGTTTTTCGTCCCATCCGAACGACTAGACAGCTGTCCTTGTCAGGCCCTCCGCCCTGCATCACTGACAAGGGGAAACCACGCCGGAAAATCTGGATGAACTTTCTCGGCCAATGCATGGATCGAACACCCGACCTCCAGGCTAGCGAGCCAGCGTCTTACCCACTTAGCCACGTTGGAGGGTCGGGGTTTGATCAGTGGGTGAGAAGGAACCTCTAGAGTTTCAAACGTCTTGTTGGAGGGTCGGGGTATGGTCTTGGCAATTAAAATATGATGACGAGTAAGTCCATTTTATGAGATTCTATTATATTTAAAATTCAATCATAAATGAGCTCACCAGTTTGCTGAAGACACTATAAAAGGATTGTGTGCCGCTAAAGTACGTTGAGAGGAAACAAGAATATATGTTTTGGAGAGAGAGAGAGAGAAATGGGGTTTAACGTCCACTCGACACAAACTAAGTCATTTCGGGACTAACATATGGTTTAATTTTATTTACATAATTCGCTTGCGCGTAGGGGTCTTTAGCAGTGGGAGGAAACCGGAGGACCCGGAGAAAACCCACGAGGTTGGACAGGCGACCCTACTCCTTGCCACGTACAACCGGGGATTCGAAACCACGCCAGTCGACTCAATGACAGGCTTTATGATTCAGCGCGCGCACGCTAACCATTCAGCCATCCAACCCCCCCGATATGTTTTGGGGTTTGCGCTATTTTTGCAATGATTGGTGTTTATCTTTGTAAAATGTTAATACAATGAGCCTGGGAATATTCTTGAACTACCTACCAATATGACTACAAAAAAATATATCTACTGTTCGAACGTTTTTTTTATAATTATTAACTGCTGCTGAGCATCACTTTGTTGCGCATGACAGATAAACAATAAATAAAATGGTGAATCAGCAGAATTCTAACATTTTACTTTTTTATGCTCATCTGATTTCACTGTCAATTAAACCGTTGCAATTGATCGGTAATTAAAATTTTCCAAGAGACCGAGCAAGCATCTAAACACTATTGTCGAAAGCTAAAAAAAAAACCCGATGCTTTTGATTAGAAAATTTTATTATGCGTACAAGCACAGCGTGGATTCATCTAATATATGATATTATCATGTTATTGCTGGTTGCTTTCTGAACTAAACAACTAAAAGAAAAGTGTTATCAGTACGCACTAACGATGCCTTTTTGGAAATAAAGTATGGTATATTTTCAGGGATCTTTATGAGCAGGGGGGATACGGGGAACCACAAAAAGACCTCTAGGATGCGCACATTTTATATGTCGTTGTAAAAAATAGTTTTGCCATTGATTAATATTTTAGGTGTTCTGAGCTTTTGTTGGGGCAGTTAGTGCGGTATTGCTTATCACCATCAACCGGAAAAGACGTTGTCTGCTGGAGACGATTTAGGAAATGAATTAATACTCTTTCACATATATTGTTTAATATTTCATTTACTTTATTTTATCTATACACAATATTATACATGATTTTAATCACACAGAACTAAATTACATTTATAACTTAACAACTTGTATTGTGCTACTATTGCGCAACTTTCATTGGTCTAAATAGGGACAAACACACGAATTATTTACTGGCTACCATGATTGTGCAGATTCCGTAGAACTAAAACATTTACATTGCACCTAAAATAGCGAAAGAACACACGAATTGTTTAATTGGCTTCATGATTCCATAGTTTCCGTTTCAGTCTTTATACAACCACCTGCTTTCATGTTTTGTGAAAATTTCCCAATGACTCCGCTGATTTCCTTTCATTGTAAGCTAAATTAATCATTTGTAATCATTTATGCGAATAGTCATCAAAGTCCTCTCAATAAATGTTATTACATCCGCTATACATTTGATGTTTTGATAAACTAAAATAATACATCCATATAAAATATCGGTGAGAATCAACAATCAAATAAATAGTTTCACTTTCTGCAGATTCATTTTGGTTCTAGTGTTCAAATAAATATCTATACGCATATCATTCCCCGTCTTTATTCGCCCAGTCGGTACAGAAAAATAAGACCTTAAACTCAGTTTTATTTCATAATTTCCATCCTTTTGACTTGTTGGAAAGTTACTTTAAGTTACTCAATTTTATCACTCGACACAACTTGGTCATTTCGAGACAACGTTTGGTTCAATTCTATTTCAATAATTCCCATGAGCGTGTTTTCTATAGCAGTTCAGGAAAACCTCGTCACGTTTTTGTTAACGTCACCTTTCTTTAAGATCTTTGAAAGTCATTTCAGGGGATTAAGGGACCCGTGACACAGCTGCAAACTACAATAATGTGAAAGTTGTATCTCTAAAATGAATATCAGTGACAAAAACGGCCCAATCATTTTCAGTATTTACAAATTAAAGATATGGTGAATTGAAAACGATATGAACAGGGTGGGCCTCTTTTTAATCCAATAATTCGGGAGGGGGGGGGATTATCTACCATTCATATTTTGATTGCTTTCCTAATTAAATCCTAAATTTTAGCATGGATTAAGTTGGGGTTTTTTAATTTTCCTAAAAAAAGGAAACGACGGAAAGAGACTTTAATTATGTCAATAAAATGATAACAAAAACATGTGTACTATAAGCACAAGGACTCCTCAAATCAGAAGTGGTATCTAGTGTTCTAGAAAGACTAATCACATCTAGTAATTAACGAACCATGGTTATATAAGTCATTCTACGGGTGTGAAAAATAACTACCTACATTTTAAAGTACGTTTTGGGTTTAATTTCAGAGTCTTGACGGACCGGTTTTAATGCATCATAACTACAGTGGCTTATTCATTCTAGAATACCTGATATACCTGTCCTGGTCTTAGACATTAAGCTTATTAAATAAAGATCACTAAATTATGTAATAACTGAGCCGAATTTCTTTATTAGGTTTTCTCTTTCATCCCCCGGTACGACCTTTTATGTCTTATTTTAGCATATCATTGGACGTCAATATAACAAAGCCTTTCCCTTTCAGCCCTAAATTATTCCTAAAATATATCATTGTATGTGAACATTACCAAGATATTTTTAGTTATCAAATCTTATTTTAGCATATCATTGGACGTCAATATAACAAAACCTTTCACTTTCAGCCCTAAAGTATACACCTAAAATATATCATTGTATGTGAACATTACCAAGTTATTCTTGGTTATCAAATATAAAACAATCTGTTACATTGTTGAAAAAAATTAAATCTAAAACGAAATAGTGCCAGTGGGATTTATTTTCATTGATGGCTGATTTGCGGTAGCATTGATAAATCTGTATAGATTTTATTTTTGTCATCACTTAAAACGTTTTATCAAATTACATTGCTTTGCGACATTATTTTATATTGTTCAAGTTGTTTATTAATGTATGTTAAAAGACTTCTCAGCATCTAGCGGGGTTCGAGGCCGAATAGTTAGCGTGTGCGCGCTGCATCATAAGGTCTATCATTGAGTCAACTGCCGTGGTTTCGATTCAACGGTTGTACGTGACAAGGAGTAGGGTTGTCTGTCCAACCTCTTGGGTCCTCCGATTTCCTCCCACTGCTAAAGACCCCAACGCGCAAACGAATTATTGAAATAAATTGAACCATAGTTAGTCCCGAAATGACTTCGTTTTTGTCGAGTGGACGTTAACCCTCTCTCTCTCTCTCTCTCTCTCTCTATCTCTCTCTCTTTCTCTCTCTCTCAGCATCTTTATAATGATTGTTACAGACTTCTAATTTCTAACATACACATAGTACTGGTGTTAATGCACAACCATATTAACACGAACTAAGAAAAAAACCTGGCATGAAATTGGAAAACGTAGCATACTATAAAACTGCACAATGACAAGATTGTTTTATCGGCCCTATTCATATACACATAACATTGGCTAGATTGGTGTTATCAGCCCTATTTATATACACATAACATTGGCTAGATTGGTGTTATCAGCCCTATTCATATACACATAACGTTTTTAGTGACTGGACAATCTTTATCTCGTTTCTCTTTTGGGTTGAATGTTCGGGTTTGGTGGCTATACTAGGGTAGTTCTGAGGCTGATATTGGGGTATAACAATCCAAGCAGTGGATTGACATGGCAGTACCACTTCTGGTTGCGGAGTTTATATTACTTCCGGTTTTACGAGACTGCTATAAGGAAGCATCGTGATCTAGTCTAAAACTAAAATAAAATACGCAACGGCTTTAACGCTGCAATGTCTGTATAATTGTATCGACATTTGTAAGGAAGCATCTGGGAGTTTTACACATGCTACAAAGAGTAAATAGCTCGTCTTAAAATAAAATACGAAACGGTGTCTTTGATTAATTGGACAACTATTATACTTTCTTCTGTCATTTATAAAAAGCTTTACCAGTGCAACACCGAGTAAACAGTCAGTTTTAAAATAATATACGAAACGGTGTCTTTGATTATATCGACATCTATTATACCTTCTTCTGTGAATTATAAGTAAGCATCAGGGGGTCTTACCCGTACAAGCAGCTGGTCGAAAAATATAAAAGAAAATACGAAACTGTGTAAACGTTATGATGTCTGTAATTATATCGACATCCATTATACACCCTTGTGTTATTTAAAGTTCTCCGTTACTGATGGAGTCTTCGGAATCAATAGTCATTTTTCTTTGTTTGTTTGCGCATGGTACCTTGAACCGGAAACAGATATGTTCTATTATTAGACATATTAGGGCAAGCATGGTTGAACCAGCAAAGGCTATAAATGGTCCACTCGTTGTCGATAACTCCAGACTGTGTACTACATTGGTGACGCTCTCCTCTGTACAGGTCTCGGTCGAAACCCACCATTTCTGTGTCCATTTGCTTATCAAACCAGCCTCCTGTAGCTTTATTATACTGTAAATAAATAAATAAATACATTTTACAAGTTATTGGTGAGTATTAATTACCACTTATGGTATCCTGATCAACCATATTCCTGAAGAAATGGTCCGAGAAATTCCTCTCGCAACCCTTATCAACCACATTCCTGAATAAATCCCTCTCTAGCCATTACTGTACTGAGGGCAAAATCATGAGTTTTTGACCGTCCAATCAAATCTCTACTATTATTAATATCTCAATGTTTGTTATTAGGCCTACTGATTCAAGTAAAATTGTACGCCTGGGTGCAGCAGGAGCAAACATCGATACTCGCATCGGTATATTGTGCAGTCGCCGAAGTTCCCCATTGGAACGAAAATTCTTTGACTACGTACCTATGTTATGCATTCAAAAATATTTATCCATATTTTTGAAGACAATCCATGATATATTATCATTTAATCAAAAAAGAACAAGTCAATTAAAACTGCTGGAAGTCGTATTTCTATCCAGTTTGTTGAAACACAATAAGCTATACTTGACAGCCCGTCTCTTTGATCGGGGGTTTTCCCTCAATTCAGGACAGTCGAGTAAATGTATTAAAAATGGTTAATATATTGTGTGGTTCAGCATATGATAAACAGATTTCACGTGTGGTGATTATACATTTGTAACTATTTTGAATAGCCTGATCGTTTGTCACATATATATAATTAGTATTTCTGCCATACTTTCCTATGCACTGGTTACTTGAGCATAATACATTTCGTGCGTCATGACGTAATTACTTGCTTCTATATTAAGTAGCCCTAGTAAATCCCGATTCATTTGTTACGCTGTAATGTATTGGTTGTTGACCAGACTGTTAACCAGTCATAATTTGGTACAGAAATTTGCTGCTATTCTGGTAGTGTTTAGTGGAATTAGGTCTAATCAAACGAAACACTGCGAGGAGTATGCGTATTAACAGTTTTAGCGATCATTTCAAGTGGATGAACGTTTTAAGGTGAAGATAATAAAAATGATTTTTTCAACATAAGTTATTTACACATGAAAGAGCAATAACAAAACGGGTAAAAACATAAAAATGTTACTGCTCTCCTTCAAATGAATTTTACTTACTTATAAGAGAGCTGTTGTAAAAATGGTGATCCCTTGGTTACAATAAAGCCAATTCCACCCGAGTTAAAGGGTTCCTCTCCTAAAATCAGCTGATCACAATCTTCTTTCTGTAAAAACTGTAACTGAGATTGGTCAGTTAAGTAGGCGTAATTTCCGGTCAACACCAGTTTTATGGCTTCGTCTTTATTCGTCACTTCCGGTGCCTGTTTTAAAAGTTCATACAATTTCCTGTATCGTTCCGTTTCTCCTTTCTGAAAATAAACAACATGCTAATGCCATTATAATCTTATATATTCAAATACATTTTCCCGCCTACTCGTTCTGGTGGGACGATAAACCGAGGTAACGAATCCTTGACAGATCGAATCCATGGAGAGTAGATTGAAAAACTGCTATTCGCCCCAGATTTCCTTCTTAGCACACTTCATATTTATGCTTGTCTTCATTAGCTCAGTTAATTTAGAAATGTATTATACAATATACAGATACATCGCAAATTCAAACTACAAAAGAACTCGCCGACATGTGAACTGCCCAAATAAGCGAGAAGTGATGCCTTTAATAATGTGTACAGAATAGAATTGGTATCACATTTGTGAACATATCTTTACCAATGTGTATAAATTGGAAGTGGTGTCAGATGTGTGAACATACCTTTAATAAAGTGTATGAATTTGACGTAATAATAATAGACACAGTCTCGATTATCAATTTACAAATTAAATTATTAATTGCTGATCGTCTTTTAGTCTAGAAAGTTGATTGTGGGCTTGTCATGTGAATAAATAATTTATACAACATTTGAGCCAAAAGAAAGATTTGCAATACGCAAATTTAGCTCTTACATAATGCATCTTTAAATAAGAGAGAGAGAGAGAGGGTTTAACGTCCACTCAATACAAACTAGGTCATTTCGGGACTAATATATGGTTCCATTTAATTTCAATAATTGACTTGCGCTTAAGGGCCTTTAGTAGTGAGAGGAAACCGGAAGACCCGGAGAAAACCCACGAGGTTGGAGTATAAATAAGAAGCGGTGTCAGGTGTGTGAACTTACCTTTAATAATGTGTATAAGTCAGAAGCAGTGTCATGTGTGTGAACATACCTTTAATAGTGTGTATAAATTAGACCCTTGTTTGACGAGTGGTTTGATTTCAGATTGTGACGTCAGATCATCAATGGTCTTGATTGGTTTATCAAAGAAAGCGACGGTGAGAAAGGCAGCTAAACTGGCCGTGTACGACGAGATGATTAATATAGTAAAGATCCACCAGAAGCCCAAAATAAAACGACCCGAGGCATTAGACGGAGTAAACTCAGTACCTGGAAAATAAACAAACGCCATGGACATACACATGAATGGCTTTACAGGTCTCGGATCGCGATTTGAGGGATTTTTAATTTATTCTAAATGAATTGTCTTTACGATTAAATTTCTGTTCAACAGATCATGTAAAATTAATTTATTCTAGATGAATTGTCTTTACGATTAAATTTCTGTTCAACAGATCATGTAAAATAAAAACAAAAGACAATTTGTCAATCAACCTATCAAAAATTGCAACCAATTTCATTGTATTCTTTAAAGTCCCTGAAGGTCATTTGAGGGATTGATAATCTCCTGTTAACTTCATTATTGTGTAAGTTCCATCTCGAAAAGGAATATCAATCCAAAAATCGTTCAGTTCCATTCAGTATTAACAAAGATATGGTGAATTGAGGATATAGACAGAATACGACCTACAGAAACCGGCGCCACCTATAATATTCGCTAACATATATTACATAATATTGATATGTTGATTTTGTTTTCTTTATTAAATGTAAATAATTAACCCGAGTGAAGTAAGCTGAGAAACATTAGATATTTTCTAAAAAATGAAAACAAAAATTGATCAGCAGCTTTTATAGAAATTTAATACCGTATTTGGGAACTAAGACGTCATATGTTTGTTCCGGTTCTTGGCACTCGGGGGTAGACATTTGCTTCGTTCACTTATCCTTGTCACGGGTTTTACCTAACAGAATACGTTTTTACATCTACGTGCAAAAGACTAATCCCCCGACATGTGCTCTGTTTAAGAACGTCTATAAAGTTTTAAGCTTAGCCAATGTTTTATGAGGCATAATATTGACATCATGTTACTATGTAGGCCATAAACGACATTTTTTAAATGTCCCCATCTGTCACATCCATTGCCTCGTGGGAAATGGTAAAGCTGTTCCAAAGTATTCTCTGTCTCTTTCACATGTTGGAACACAAAGAAATGGCACTTTGTTGTTATATTATTACCCTAATTTCAACCTGAGCATGCATAAGGCCTTTCCTTTCGAAAAAGGGGAAATCACTACGAAATGATTGCAACAAAGGAAGATCAATCCAAACGCTACTTACCCTGTTCCATATAAGACCCGTACACAATCCAAATATCATCTGCAACACTTGTAGTCTTTACCTCCTGTCCTATTTCACTAGTTTTACCTCGATAGGGGCTGACCTTATCCACAAAACCCAAAATCAGCCCAACGGCGAGTAAAACAAAACCTATTGTAATCCACACATTCAGGGTGAATGGTTTAAAAGATCGAAATATTTTGCCATAAGTGTCTTCAAATTTTCTTAGAATGAGTCCAGCCCCGTCTTCCATGACTGGTGTTGTGTAATCAACGACTTCCTCTCGTTCAGCTGTAAGACTTATGGGTCCAATAGCCATGTCATACTCCTGGAAAATAGTCACAAATAACTGACGAATTACACAACTTTATCAAAAATTTATATACAGGAAAACGTGTCTGACTCAACACAAGATGTCCAGACAGAATGCCCAGTTCATCCAGTATTATGTAGAGACTAGAACATCGACCAGCCTGAGCTGTACATCTTGACGAATTACACAACTTTATTGAAATTTGTATTCGGGGAAAACGTGTCTGACCCAACACTAGAGTTCCTGACAGGTTGTCCAGTTCAAGACTTGGAGTTTAGTATTATATAGAGACTAGAACTAGCCTTAGCCGTTTGGTGTTACTCGTACATCTTGATGTTTGTTTTTACAGATGACAGATTACCTAGGTTTACTTTGATTTCATCATATCATTTATTCCATTAAAAATCTGTCGAATATGTTTCCGTTTCTCTCTCCCTGAGTTGTTTGTTTTTTATTTGCTTAATGTGGATTTTGTTGCTTAAGGTTCATCTGTTTGTATGTTTATTGTCGTTTTGTTTATTGTTACTTTGTTGTGTATTGTAGGATTTCACTTACCTTGTCCATTGTTTTTCGGACCAGACCATTCCACGTTCCATCTGGATTCATACCTCCCCATAAACCGTCATCCGGCTCCGTTAATTCATACCTATAGACATGTTGTCAAAATGAAATAAATAAATGTCGTTTTAATGCCGTTTATTAGAATCACAAAAAGAGTCCCAAACATTCATTAATTCCTAATTTATTAAGAACCGGGTTCTACTGTTTCCCCCACACAACCGAATTACTGAAATAAACTTGAGATTCAACTTCCACAGTTTTGTAGTCGTCACCAAGCTGATTATTGAAATGAAATCAATATTTAACGTCCATAGTATTGTATTCACCATGGGATTATCACCATCGAAACCTTTGAAGAATGTGATGAATTTGATTTTATTATTTTCAGGTTGATTGATAAATGTTTTTTTTTTAATATTACCTGAAATTCAGTCTCAGAGCCAATTCATTTAATATATCTATACAGAAGCCTTCATATTCTCCATTGTCTAATTTTATGATGAATGGTTCAGCCTGAAAATATGGAAAAGAAGGTGGTATGTTCATGTGGCGTTCACGGAGGGGACAGTGGGGTTACCTCTCGGGGATCTATTTCAGTCTGCCATCCGATCAAGGAGTGAAATCATAACTTTTTTTATAATCGCTATTAGACAAATTGCCCATCTTACTTAGTTTAGTGGGCCTGTTTTACATAATTTGCATACGATGTAGCCAGGGTCCAGTTTTGGGAGCCACACCCCAAAATGCAGCTGACTTGACCAGACCTTTAAACACTTCAAATCATTTACAGGCCGTCAGTAAAGGGTGAGCATGCCCTTCCACGTGCGTGACACCCAGCACGACTTAACACTTGAGCGATGGTTTGGTCCAGAATTCTAGGACTTTGTCAGATATTTTACCTCTTCAAATGAGAAATGGTATCAGCCGCTTTTTTCTAACCAAGAAATACTGCATAGATTCAAGCTATTAAAATATTAGAATCATCAATTAATCATTTGATATAAATATTTTCACAACTTACCGGTAGAGTGCCAACAACTATGGTTATATTTCCAAATCCGCTGTCAATCCGATTAAATAAATCGTCATCCGCTAAATTAAGACCTGACGACCTAGTCCACATACCAACAGACTCGGTTAACTGGGGCGCTCTGGCTATATATAACACAGTGTTATTTCTGTAGCGATCCGCAGTGAAACCGCCTGAACTCAGCAACATATTAGAATTGTACGCCTGAAAAGTAATCATATATTTTAAGATATTCAGCAAATATACAGGGCGTTATAAAATAAAGTCTTATGTATTATAATATTTAACAAGTATATAAAGGTGTAGTCTTATGTATCATATATTTAACACGTGTATAAAGGTGTAGTCTTATGTATCATATATTTAACACGTGTATAAAGGTGTAGTCTTATGTATCATATATTTAACACGTGTATAAAGGTGTAGTCTTATGTATCATATATTTAACACGTATATAAAGGTGTAGTCCTATGTATCATATATTTAACACGTGTATAAAGGTGTAGTCTTATGTATCATATATTTAATACGTGTATAAAGGTGTAGTCTTATGTATCATATATTTAACACGTGTATAAAGGTGTAGTATTATGTATCATATATTTAACACGTGTATATATGATATATTTAACATGTATATAAAATACAGTCTAATGTATGATATATTTAACATGTATATAAAATACAGTCTAATGTATGATATATTTAACATGTATATAAAATACAGTCTAATGTATGATATATTTAACACCTATATAAAATAAAGTCTAATAACACGTATATAAATGGCGATATAAAACGTAGTCTAATGTATCATATATTTAGTATCTAGGGTATGAAATATAGTCTATTGAATCATATATTTAACACGAATATAAAGGGCGTTAGAAAAACCTAGCCTAATAAATCATACATTTAGCATAGAGAGTGCTATAAAACATTGTCTAATGTATCATCATATATTTAACATAGAGGTCTAATATATCATATATTTAACACTATATAATACATTTAGCATAAAGAGCGTTATAAAGAAAATAGTCTAATGTATCATATATTTAACATATAAGTCTAATATGTCATATATTTAACACTATATAATACATTTAGCATAAAGAGCGTTATAAAGAAAATAGTCTAATGTATCATATATTTAACATATAAGTCTAATATGTCATATATTTAACACTATATAATACATTTAGCATAAAGAGCGTTATAAAGAAAATAGTTTAATGTATCATATATTTAACATATAAGTCTAATATATCATATATTTAATACTATATAAAGGGCGATATAAAATATAGTCTATTGTATCATATATTTAACAGGTATATAAAGGGCGTTATAAAATATAGTCTAATATATCACATATTTAAGTTATTCGGCATATCCAAAGGAACTCTCGATACTTTTGTGGAAGCAGACGTTAAAGAACCAATAAACAGCTTCCTTTTTGCGCAGGGGTTGAAGGAATCCGGAATGACAGGAGAACTCGGGTAGGGGGGTAGTCTTATTAATAGGTTGGAATATTCAGCCATTTATTTTAGGAGTAACTAAAATATCTAACCTCGGTATATTCTGTCAATGATACGTTGTTCAGGTCATTTTGACAGGAAGTAGCTGGAGTTACCTTTCCTGTACCAATCATCAATAAAAGGCTGTCATAAATACGGGCTTCTGTTACCTATAATATCAAATAAATAAAGTACCCTCGACTTACATTTAAACCCAGTTTCATTTAATGTTTTATGCAGGCACCCCGTCTATTACCATACGAGGTATCATTTCTTAGATGACAAAAAGGACTCAAACTCTTCCGATGATTAGGAGCCACATTGGCTAAGTGGAGGACCTGCCATGGTCCCGTGTACACTTTGGCGTTCACGTAAAATATCCCCCGCAGGTGGAATTCGATATAAGAGTAGGCCACAGTGCCGCTGCCCGGGCAAAATGTTCCTCATTGCACACTTTATGGCGTATGCCTGTCTTCATACGCCATTTCATTTCATTTCATTCTCCAGAGGGTTAGAGTGATGTTAATTTCCGGCAGATAAATTGTACAACGGCCAATAAGAGATCTTATCAGCATAATTCAAATTAATGACATATTATATGTTGACCGTAAACTTACCGCAAGTTGAAAGGGAATATTCCGTTCAGACTGTTGAATCCATTCAGTCAAAAAGACTACATTTCTTATTTTTTCGTCAAACGTTTCGTACATGCTGACGTCCAGTTCCGGTAAAATTATCAAACTTTCATATCTTGAGAACTTCAACTGAAACGTGCAAAGAATTACATACAGTAGTCAATTCCAATGGACATTCCTCCTCAAAAGTGTCGAATATGTGGACGTCCAGTTCCGGTGAAATAATCAAACTTCCATATTTCGCGAATTTCAGCTGAAAGGTCAGAAGTAGAGCATTGAATACAATAGCTATTTCCACTAGAGACAGTTGTACCACGTCCATCTTAAAGCTTTTATATTTATGCCAGAATAAGGATTGGTTCTTTTCCTTTTAGATTTCACCGGGACAACCGTCTACTACTGAACAGGGGCGTGGGACCGAATAGTTAACGCGTGTGCGTTATATCATAAGGTATGTCTACTGGCGTGGTTTCGATTCCCCGGTTGTACGTGACAAGGAGTAGGGTCGCCTGTTCAACCTCGTGGGTTTTCTCCGGTTCTTCCGGTTTCCTCCCAATGCTAAAGACCATACGCTTAAGTGAATTACTGAAATAAATTGAACGATATGCTAGTCCCGAAATGACCTGGTTTGTGTCGAGTGGACGTTAAATACTACGCGCAAGCGAATTTTGAAATAAAAATGAACCATATGTTAGTCCCGAAATGACCTGGTTTGTGACGAGTGGACGTTAAACCCCATATTTCTCTAATTTTTCTTCGATGATAAATGACTTTGGAACATGGTTTAAAAAATATTAAAATAATTAAAGACTTACATGTTGAACAATTGAAGGGATTTTGTGATGGTCAATCAATAAAACGATGCAATTTGTTGAATTTCCCAAACTTAGTAACCAATTATTCATAATGATGTCATTTACATCCGCCGGAAGTCGTGTAACTGATGATGATACATAGTGACTGGACATGCCGAGAAAGAAATCCTCTACGTCCCACGAGTCTGTTTCAGAAAAATGGATATAAACCCAAAAAATATTAGTACTTCTGAGATATAACTGTGTTCTAGACCAGCCATTTCTAAATTGAAAGATATTGTATGCTTCTTGTTATGCACTGCATATTAGCGAAAGTCTACTCGCGAGAGAATATATTACTATATACATGTATATTCCCTGTAAATGATTTGATATGTGTTTAGCATATACATATTTAGAAACAGATTATAAACCGCCAGTAATAGAGTTCGCACAGTATATGGGTTTTTTTTCAAGTTTCAAGGTTGGCAAACATATGTCAAAAATTTACATTTCATTCAAATTTGAATTGCAAATTCGCCAGTTCAATAAGCAAAAAAAATCCGGTAATGGAGGATGCTATTTACCATAGAGTCTGTCGTACATTACAGCTACAGTTGTAAAAACACCTGTCTGTAATATATCTTTCATGGCATCCATTATTTCCTCTCGTCCTGTCTGCACTAGGAACGCAGACGGTGCCAGATGGTGTGTGGTGCAGAAACCTGTTGATATTAGGAACACCGGAAACTCAAGGTCAGCCATTTTGTGGTTAACTACATGGATACCGGAACAGGAAGTTACGAATATCAAACCAGAAAATCTTACATCGATTAAATCACAAACTGAAACATAAAATATAATATCTATACTTTTAGGGTGGTACCAACATATAGAAAGCTCGAGCACACTGAAAACGTATGTACCTTCATACAGGACATGAACACCCGAACACACTTAACAAGTAGCGTCTTTAAAGATACATTATGTAAGATTTAGATAAAGAGTTGGTCCTTCGAAAATAGATAATCCAAAATGAATGTATTAAAAAT